TAGGCCAAAATGTGAACACGGGTGATGCACGGGGTGCACAATTTTAAGGTCATTTATTAGTACAGAGTTCGTGCGATGCACGGGGTGCACAATTTTCTAGTATGTGTAATGCAAATACATACCGTATGTACAAGACAAAAACACTAAATGAGTTATTTTCCACAAAGCTTGTCCGTTAAGTAGCTCCTGAACACGGGTGCACAATTTATAGTACGTACTATAAAATCAGAACAGATTTCCATACAATTAGATAATAAATTAGATAATAAATAAAACCTTTTTTTATTTTAGTAAAGATTTTACGTACTTTTTTTTTCTTACTTATCGGATGTTATGAGATTTTTTTTTGTTAAACCGATTTTATGGGATATGATACAAATACAATTAGAGGATTGAACAAAATCAAAACAGATTTCTATACAATTAGATAATAAGAAGGAATCAGATAAGGAAAAAAGAAATTAGATAAAGAATTTTGAATCTACATTTTTTAGTATAAATAGACTTTACGTACAAATTTTGACTTCACCGATTTTATGAGTTTTGTTTTGACAAAATCAAAGACGAACACTGAAAATTGTTTCTATTAACATTTACAATGTGTATTTAATGTTTTTTTTTACAAAATATTCTTTTTAAGTGTGATATATAAATATTAAAAACACTTCAAATATTTTATAACATCTATAAAAGCATCTAAAATATTCTATATTATTCACAAATAATGTTTGAAGCTACCTAAATTTTTGTAAACTACCCGTAAAGAAAATATGTCTAAAATTTTTCATGAACATGACCATATATTCAATTATTTATTTATTTATTTATTATACTAAATGAATTCAAATTGAAATTTGTTTACCTCCTTAAATTAGGTTGCACCTAATAATTTACGACATCTATATTTATATTAAATGTTATACTATTTACTAAATGTAGTATGTAGAATAGTCAACTCTAATTAATAATTTGCTATTTTTATCTAGCATTTAATTAATGCATCTAATATTTTTGGTATGCAAATCAGATTAGTATTTAATTAGTTTCTAAAATATTGGGTATGCAATATTAATTTAGGAATATCCATGTAGTTCCTAAAATGTTGGTATGCAATAGGTAAAAGAAGATTTTTTATTTTTTTTTAAATATAAAATATTGCAACACGTAAAACTATTCCAGTTATTTTTTATTTTATTTTACATATAAAATATAATCAATATTTAATGCATACTACAAAATTGGATTTAGTTTAATTATCCATACAAATGGTTGTAACTTTTTCGGTTGTATTTTTTATTTATTTATTTTACACTTTTAAATTAATGAAGTTCTCCGGAAATACCAAATCAAATGATTTATGAAAGTTTTTTTTTTACAATTTTAAATCTATATAACCAACTTAAAAAACTCATCGCATAGATATGGACGAGTTTAAGAAAATTTCATAACCCAACTTATAAAATTTCATCTATTGTAACAACTTAAAAAAATGACATTTCCCATCTATTGTAACAACTTTAAAGGTAAATAAATAAAAAGTTTAATTACTACTACAAATCTATTATCTATATAGATTTTTTAAAAATCTAAATTTCACCTGTCTAATTACTAATATTTTAGATACTTTTAATATTATTTGTAAATTTTTTTTACACATTTGCTCTCTCTCTCTCTCTCTCTCTCTCTCTCTCTATATATATATATATATATATATATATATATATATACTAGTTGGCCGGATGGCTGTGCACGCACAGCCGACTCTAGTCCAGTCTATAACTATAAATGATATTTGGCAAAATTAAAAAAAATACACATGCCCACCTTTTATAGCATTTATAATTCTAGCTTCAAATAACTCATCAACAATGCATAAGGAACTAAACAATGCAATAATATAATGAGATCTATCAATTTATAAAAGTGTGAATAAAATGTTATTGTTGGTACATAATATTTGAGAAGATGCATTGAAAAGCAAAAGATTAGTTCTACTTAACAATATGAAACCAATTTTCCAATATCGATAATTATTATATAATTGTTTTAAGTAGAAAAGAACAGTCAGCTACTCTAGTAAAGGAAAAATTTGAGTTTCAGAGCATACAAATTGGTTACGCTCGTTGACAAACCTGCAAAAATGGCGCAAATTTACAATACTCATTTTCATAGGATTCTCAAGTTCTATCTTTCAGAGCATCCACCTAAGATAGGCGTAAGAGGCTAGAGCTCTCTCCATGTTTGGGTGTTAGCTTTTCAGCGCCAGCCTGCCCTTTCCCCTGAACCCGACACGTTCGCCATCACACTCATGTTACTCCACTTGTCCTAAAACCCAAACTGAGACCAACATAAACTATTATGAATAGGAACCTTTAATTCAGGTGCGTGTTACCGAACTGTATGTTTTGGGATATTCTTTCAACGACTAAATCAAGTTTTACAAAATGCTTTTTATTAATTGAATGGATGAACATTAAGGACGCATGATTGGAAAGCATAGAAACTAACATTTTTTAGCAAAAACACTTCGATTAAAACTTTCTCCTCACCATGTGCAGTCCCCAGAACGACGCCATACACGCCGGCTGCGACTCCTTCCCATTGTCTGCCAATATTTGTAACTAAAAAATAAAATAAAATAAACATGCTTTAATGGTAAGGTTACAATCCGACCCACTAATAATTTTAGGAAAAATATATTTTCATCAAATCTCCCTCACCTCGCTCAATATGCATTTTTTATTAATCTCCAACATACAACCAATATTTAAAATTCCCACCAAATCAATGATAAGGACAACCATATAACTACCATCATATTCAAATAGAGATGCAATTAATTAAGACGTGTCATTCATAGATAGTAGCGTGCCGCAAAACTCAATCTAAAGAGCCACAATCGAACATAATTTTTCTGTTTGAAAGGCGAGCTAAAGGTGATATTTTTTCAGGTAAACATGTTCTTTATCATTCACTCTCAACCATCTTTTTCTCGTTGGCGGGAATCATTTTGTTGTTGTATTTTCCCGGCAACGGCCTCTTCCAAGGTGGATTATGTAAGAAAATAAAATGAGCTATTATATTAGAAACAAAGAATGTCATGTCTGCATGCATACATAAGATTAAATAACCATGTTTACTGTCAACATTAAAGCACCCATACCCATGTTATGTAATAGGGGATGGGCTCTAAAATCGAATTGTCATCAAACAAAATACAATATGACCACATAATTAGTTAATTACAACAGAGGCGTCTTTTATTAAAAATATAATCTCATTTCCATATTTTGCTTCCAAAGAAGCATTGGTCCAAATATCAAATAAAGAATATTAAATGGATCAAATACATGTAGACCCACAAGATTTTTAATCTTTCATAACAAAATTTCAAGGCTTTTTGAACTTCATAACTAAATATTCAGTTACTCGAAAAAACCCGAAATATGTGCAAATTGTAGTTCCTTTCTCCAGCTCAGTTTCTTTTATATTAGAAGCATATAAAAAGTTTAGAAAAATTAACCCCATGTACGAACTATTACAGTGGATTCTAGGTAAAAACAAAACAAAACATCCTCCGAACATCAAACAACCATCACACAACAAGACAAAAATGCAAGATTAAAATCAATAAATAATTATTAGAATAGCAAACAAGATCCCACAACTACATTATTATTAAAGTTGATAATTTACCTTGAAAGCAATTAAAATTCTCTTCTTTCTTTCTGACGACATCGAGATATGAATCCATCAATCTGTCATCCTCGGTTTAGTGCCTCTTGTCTCATTTGTTCCCATCAAAAGACTAATAAATAAATAAATGAACATATCATCACAAAGCAAAAATGAACAACGAAATATGTTATCTATTTTTCATGTAAAGAAAATGATTTTGGTATACTGCCACACCACAAGTCAAATATAAGATTAAACATTTGAAAATTTATATCCATATATTCCATTACTACTCAAAATTGTAGTTTACATTAACTAACAAAAAAGACGTGAATAAAAGGCACACATTAAGAAATAAAAGACACAACACTAAATAAGAAGTATGTTCTGGCAATACAAAGATAGTCCCACGGCTACAAATTGTGTCATTTTTTCATCCATTAATGGATCAACCACATCCTGCATACATTACATACTTTTCTTAAGAAGACCTTAGAAACTTAAATGATTACAAGTCCGACAATGAATAAAAATAAAATTCAAAATGAAATAGACCTTGACCACACAAAGAATATTGAAGCGGGAAATGATTGGATCCATCAATTCTACATTCTGTGAAAATATGTGAAAATATCTTGATAGATTGTATTGCAAGAGAATATTTACGACAAGAAACGTTGAACTACATATCAGGTAAAAACCTTCAAAGCAAAGTTAGCACCCTGCTCATTTCATGACGAAATGAAATCAATTTTGGATTAAACATCGAGGCAATATAGAAACCAAAGAAAATAATTGTTAAAAAAGCATTTTTGTTATCATATCTCTTAATATAAAAAATACTTCATTGAGATTCTTTGTTGAACTCATTACAAGGAAGAAAACCAACACACAAAAGCAAATAAAAAAACTACGTACCTGTGGCAAAATAAACAAAAAAATAAACAAACAAAGTGTTCAAAAAACGTTGTTGTATGTCAACCTAAGTATCTGTGGCAAAACTAAGCATAGACGACATTACCATGTGAAATTATTGGTATATTATTAGTATAAGGTGACTTCAGTGCACCTTCCTCCCAAAAGTCCTGCCTGTCATAACACATGTTCGCACGGTGGCATCTGAAGAGCAAGATACTAATGTGTTACTACCTGCAAGGAGAACATCGTTCACCTGCCCAGCCAACAATTTCAAATATAAATTTCACAGATTATACAAAAAGAGTACCACATATCAAACGAAATAATCAATATTATTTAGTCTTCATGAAAATGAAAAGTCACAAACCTAGGAAAGCATTGTATAGGATATCGTCTCCCGCTCTAGCTTATTGTAAAGTTAAAACATATAATATTGGTATCATCGTTCTCCCTAGGTAGTAAGTCAGAATACATAGACCCTTGAAACAGTTCCATGACTTTCTAGACGTTACAGCTCAACTGTCAGTCAGATCAAATAATGCAGAAACTTACAACAACAACAACAATAACAACAACAGCAACAACAACAAAGCCTTTTAGTCTCAAACATAAGGCAAAAACTTAATTGAGACAATATAGCAAACCCACTGTCTTATATGCACAAATCAGGCAATTAATTGTGGGATACTAACAAGACTATCCAGTATCCAAGGTTAAGTAATAAAATAAGTTCACTGTTGTGTTAACGTGTTTTTAAGTGATTGAAAACATTCCCTGTGCAGCTCGTGAATATAAAACACAAGAGTAGCGAAGCTTGAAAGATCAGATTTCTTGATGTTTTCTGGTAAAACATACAGAATTACTAATTTTAGAAAAAAAACAAAAGAGAATTAAAGAGTTACCTTGGAAGAGCCTTGATGTCGATCTGGATGCCATTTCAACGCACATGCTCGATATCTGCAAGCATAAATTTGTTTAGGATCATAGAAAAAATCCCCAAAATGAAAAGCAAGAGAAAGAAAGGTACAACAAAATAAATGAACAAATCGAAGAGTACTCACGCATTTTTTACGTCATCTACATTCAAACGGCCGGATGAAACCAGCCCCAGAGCAACCCCATCAGACCTCATGTATAGCATAGGACTCTCATGATCAGGTGAAGAATCTTCTCCATACTGATTTCTAACCCCTAGAGTTTCTATAGTTGCTAGAGTAACTTGATGAGTTTCTATAATGTTGTTCATCATCAATCGTGAAGGAACAAAAGAAGCCTCGGGTACCACCAAATGCCGAGCGGAAAATGGTCCCAAATTCTTCTTCATCACCATCTTCACATAACTCGAAATCTCCTGGAAAAAGATGAAAGGAAAAAAAAATACAAATTACATATCCCTCTTTGAGTTTTTTTTCTTTTTAATTTTTTTTTTCACAAATACAAACATCATGGAAGGTTTTTGCAGTTCTGAAAACAAAAAATCAAGTTAGTAGTTGTTTGTAATGAAGTTTTTGAGGTTCGTCTTGGCTGAGGCATTTATTCAAGAAAGTGCCCATCTCATTTGGAAAATAATAATAATAATAATAATAATAATAATAATAATAATAATAATAATAATAATAATAATAATAATAATTGAACTCTGGATTATGGTTTGTAAAGGTGACATAGTAGTTTCAAAGACCGCATTAGGACAGGGAGCGAAAAAACGTACTTGTGAATGCCTGTGACATCCTTTATCTAGACTTGCCCTTTTTAAATCCATTTTCCTTGAAATTTGGTCTGAACCATGAACTCCCTCGATCAGAAGTTGGATCAAACTCATTTGTATATGACCACAAGCTCTGTCTCAGAGAATTTTATTTTCAGAGAGAGAGAGATCAACATTGTCAGGTAGCTCTAAAGCAATAATCTTGAGAAATATTTTCTTAGTTGTAATAATTTTTTATACTTTTCTTTAAGAATTATGACCTCGAGAATATAGAAATGAACACGAAACCACTTAGAATTTTTTTTCTTCAAACGACAAATCACATAGCAAACTAATACAAAATTACGAAAAGCAAAACAAAACTCATCCGAAAACACAAGAAGTTCATGACTAAAGCAAATTTTGCCAAAGTTATAGAACCACTGATTGTCTGATGCAGGTAAATATATAAAGAGAGAGAGAGGAGATAAGACTTTCTTATTTATCTGACAGTCCCTCCATTGATTCAATTGATCACATTCTTGTGATCGTCCTCGAATCAACAGAAAATGTGTAAAAACTGTTGAACTATAGATTACCCAAGATATAAGAATGATTGGCCGCGGGATGTAGTAAAGAAAAGGAAAAGGAAACAAGAACGACATTATTTGCTCTATTCAACCTCAAATAGGCGCTCTGCAAACCCACAGACATTGCGCAATAAACTCTGTTTCCTGAGCCTCTTGCGATACTTTTTAAACTTCTGCAATTAAAAGTTTCACAAAAACAGATGATTTGATTCTTCACACGTACTTGCAAGTATTACAGTTCTAGTTGAGATACCGAAAATACTTTTGGGAAAGCATAAAATGATAACTGGCACCAAGGTTTTGCAAAAGCATAATACACAGCCATGCTTCAAGAACTAAATTGTTAGTGCTTTATCGACCTCGATGCGATTCAGTTTCTATTTTATTATGTGCGTTTAGCTACTAATATTTTTTTCGGTTCACAAGTTATGCTCTATGAGATCCCAGAGATTTCAAGTTTTAACAATATTACTTACCAGAAACTGCTACCTTTCCAACAACCCTGTCTGACAATGTCGGAAAAATTCTATAAAATACATGAAAAACAAAGAATATCATATAAATGTGTGTGTGTGTGTGTGTGTGCAATACTTATAATCACGTCAATGCGTACAGAATATCAAACAAATGATACTATTAAATTCGTTGAGACCCCATCTTCCGACCAAGCTATTCTGCAGGTTCTCGTTTTTGTCAAAAATAAGTGAATTCACAAAATAATTAAGTATTTACACTTTTATATGTATTCTTTTGGGTTATTTATTTGTCGTTATGCTCCACTGTCAGTACATAAATAAATGATAAAAAAACCCATAGAGCTATAATAAATTTGGAAGCTAACATGTCAGTTATTTAAAAGAAAAAACACCAAATTTAAAATCATACTTCATAAAATAATGAACATTAATTACAGTGAAACTAACACTTTCATACTACTATGGCTACACTATCATATAATCACAACAAAATAATAATTTGGCTAATGCAACACATGAAATATACCATATGTCAACACAATGAACTAAACAACATAAGTTAGTCACAAAGGTCCCAACAAAACAACAGTCAATACATACTTAAAAAAATACACAAATGAAGAAGAAGAACATGAATACACAAATAAACCATTTACAACATCCTGGCATTGGAAAAAAACAACACAAATTATTATCGGAGAAGAAGAAAAGGTTACAACCACAAACCTTTATACAGAGTCAGCGACAGACACCACAAACTAATCATCCTTTGTTCTAACACCTGCAGCACACAAAAAAGGCGAATGGGTTGTTTAAAAAAAAACACAGAGGCACACAAAGAAAATGCGTTTAAAGTTTCAGGCAGGGCTTACAAATAAGGTTTCCACAAAGACAACCAAAAGTCTTACTGAGCCAGAAAGTATAGTAAACGAGAGCCTTTGTACGACTACAATGTTGGAACTTGGAACAATGTAAACAAGCTTGGTCAATGGCAGAAAGTGAAATCAAACCCAAAAATCGGGAAAAGCTACATATGGAAACCAACCTACTCCATATATAATGAAAAAAGTTGCGTAAAACGCAAGAATCATATCAATAATCTCCATTCTTTTCTTTTCTTGGTGGTTGTTATGTATGGCTGAGACGCAACCTTTGGCCACGGCGCAGAAAGATATATAAAATGGATATCTCAAAGTAAAAGACGACAAACACGCACACAAACTAACACAAATAAACAAAGGACACCAATAACGATTCGAACATTTATTTCGGCGCTATGTCATAAAACCTACAATAAGCTCACGTTAGTATTCATATTAGAATTTCAAGCACTGAAGTACATAGGGCATACATAGTACAGTAAATAAGAAACCCTTGTGTAAATCCTATAGAGGCAGAAAAAGGGAAAGCAAATGACACCCAAACCCAATGTTCAACATGATTCATGATGTAAAAATCAACATATGACGATATAACTAAAAAAACTTAAAAGTTAAAAAATTTTAAAAAACAAAATTTACCAGCCTGAAAGACAAAAATCGCAGAAATAGCCGCTGACACCACCGACCTCTTTCCTCTTAAATTACATCGGACCAAAACCCTCTTGCTTCCTTTTTTCCCCCCCAAAATCGAACCCCTAAAAAAAACCTAAACCAGGGCAAAACCCACGATCAGAAAAGAACAGCAGATAGGTAATAAAATCGAAAAAAGGAAAACAAGTAGTGCTTTACCTTCAACCACGAGCTGCAAAAGCTGGGAAAAAAAAGTCAAGCCACTAAAATTGGAATCGAAAAAAACTCGAGGAATTGATTATCCTAACCTTCGAATTGTTGCGAGATTCTTCCTCTTTGGCTCGCAGCCTCTGGTCACCACGCACGGGTGCTGACGGGTGGCGAGGGACTGGTTTCACGGAAGATTCATTACCCCTCAAAAGGCAATAAAAGTGACCTCAAATGACTCTATTATCCTCAAAAGGCAGCAAGAAAGAGGCCAAAATGTAAGGGTATTTTGGTCCAAAAGATGACACGTGTCACCTCTATAATCCCTTATACTTTTTCTTATATGTATAAGGGAGATATATATATATATAGGTTAAATGAAGAATTTTTAGACATATTTTCCTTAGGGGTAGTTTAGAAAAATTTAGGTAGCTTCAAACATTATTTGTGAATAATATAGAATATTTTAAATAGAATAATTTTCCAAAATAAAAACATTAAATACACATTGTAAATGTTAATAGAAACATTTTTCAGTGTTCATCTTTTGATTTTGTCAAAACAAATCTCATAAAATCGGTGAAGTTAAAATTTGTATGTAAAGTCTATCTAACTATAAAAAAGGTCGATTCCAAAATTCTTTATCTAATTTCTTCTTTTCCTTATCTAAATCATTCTTATTATCTAATTGTATATAAATATGTCTGATTTTGTTCAATCCTCTAATTCTATTTGTATTACATCCCATCAAATCGGTTTAACAAAAAAAATCTCATAACATCCGATAGGTAAAAGAAGTACGTAAAATATTTACTAAATAATAAAGACTTTATTTATAATCTAATTTATTATTTAATTGTATGAAAATTTATTCTGATTTTATAATACGTACTACAAATTGTGCACCCGTGCTCAGGAGCTACTTAACGGGTAAACTCTGTGGAAATAACTCATTTAGTGCTTATGTCCCGTGCATACGGTATGTATTTATATTACACATACTAGAAAATTGTGTACTCCGTGCATCGCACGGACTCTGTACTAATAAATGACCTTAAAATTGTGCATCCCATACATTACTTGTGTTCACATTTTGGCCTATATTTAGTCACGTACTATATATATACCCCGTATATTTTTTTTATTCATTTATATAATTATAAAACTTGATAAATGACCTTAATTTTGTGCACCCACAGTTCATTGGTAGACGACTATGTTGCCTGTGTCGCACAATTCATTTCATTAATTCATCCGTCTTAACCGCAAGCGTTAAAAAATGTCGGCCGTTTTGTAATCTCTGTGGATATTAGCTTGCAGAGCATCTCAACAGACGAAGAAACAAATCCAATTTCTTTAATCTATATTTCAGTCTCCATGTATGCTCCCTCTCTCTCTCTGCGAAAAGAAAGGAATAAAATGAATCAATTGTTTAATAGCCTCTGCTAATTTTTATTATTGTTATCGAATAGATGCCGACAGCGGAGGAGAAGACGATGTCGAAGAAAAACAAAGACGTGATCCGGCTAGAGCAAGAATCCGTCATACCTGTCCTCAAGCCAAGGCTCATCGTCCACTTGGCCAACCTCATTGGTATTCTAATCTCTGTGTCTCGTGTTATTTGCTTTCTTCCTCTCCCAAAGTATTTGCTAAAACTGTGTTAGAATATCACTTGTGAGTTGTCCCACATCGTTCACACATAGAAAATAGACTCACCTTATAAGTCTAATGGGCTACTCCTCCTTTGACCAATTGGTTTTGAGATGGAACCTCATTTGGGCTTCATATGGGCTTTCCTTTCCCCCAGTTTCTTACATGATATCAGAGCCGACCAACTTTGTTTTGGGTTAGAGACATGATATCAGAGCCCGACCAATAAGTCTAATGGGCTACTCCTCCTTCCACCAATTGGTTTTGGGATCGAATCCCATTGGGCTTCATATGGGCTTTCCTTTCCCTTCAGTTTCTTACAAACTGTATATTGTTGTTTGGTTGTTACATTTCTCATTGTGGAGTATATCTATCACCACCCTCTTCAAATTGTGACTCTCCGTTATGAACAATCCACTTTTTTTTTTTTGCCTCCTGTGTGTGTGTGTGTGTGTGTGTGTGTGTTTAATTTCTTGAATGTATATAGTACTGAGGAAGCTGTATCAATTGGTCTGAAAGAGAAAGGAAAAGAATAGATGCAAATAAGAGTGAGCAAGAGAAATAGAGAGAGAGAATTAGTCACTGGTCATTTTAAACCCTTTATAAATTATAACCACAATTATGCACCTGTAAATCATGCAGAACATAGCTCTGATCGTACCGAGTTTTTGAAACTATGTAAGAGAGTGGAGTACACAATCCGAGCTTGGTACATGTTGCAGTTTGAGGACCTCATGGTAATATATGGCCTCATTAATTGTCTTCATTAAATCTATATCCTACACCATCCCAGCTCAGGTTTATTACTCTTACGTTTTTAACCTTGATTGGTTCAATTACTGCAGCAACTGTACTCTCTCTTTGATCCTGTCCATGGCACTCAGAAATTGGAGCAACAGCAGTTATCTTCAGACGAAATTGACGTTCTTGAGCAGAATTTCTTGAGATATCTGTTTCAGGTATCATTTTACATATTTATATCAGGATATATGAGCTTTTTTTCCCATCCAGAAAGTTCAGAGGTTTAGTTAACCCTAAGCTCACATTTTTATAATGTTTTGCCTGTGTTTGGTTTGCCCTCACATTCCCCATTACATATCATTTATGATTCTAATGCAAGAAGGCTCCAAACCCTGGTAGGTGGTACACCAGGTTGCATCCGTTGCTCTATGCTTTGTTGTTTGCTCTCTCCTATGAAACTTTCGATCTCCTACCTTGGGAAGAGGGCATATGGGATGCAGCAGTCGTTTGCATCTGAGGCCTCCCTTTGTAAATCTTTTCTTATGGCAGTTATTTCCCATTGTTTTCTCTATTCTATTTTACTATGCAGGTTATGGAGAAAAGCAATTTCAAAATAGCCACTCAAGAAGAGATTGAGGTTGCACATTCAGGGCAGTATCTCCTCAATCTGCCCATCACAGTTGATGAATCTAAGGTTATACCATTGTAAACACATTGATCATTATGTGGTATATTGCTTCCATTTTGTTCATAGAACTACTTTTTGTTGGGTGTAGCTTGATAAGAAGCTTTTGAAGAGTTTCTTCGAATCTAATCCTCATGAGAACCTTCCTGATTTTGCCAATAAGGTACCCCTCTTTCTTTGAGTAATTAATTAGGACTACAAACTCAGATCTTTTTGTTTTAAAGTTTTGATCTTTAGGTTTTTTAGATGAATTTGTTTCGTGGCAGTTATTTTGGTATTGATAATAGTAAATATCTTCATTTCCTAATTATAATGTGGATATACATTAAAGATAATCTGGATATTTACATAGGTGTATAAATGGGAAAGGGGATATTTCCCCTTGTTATACTTAGATCTAATTGAATAATAGATTCTTGTCAATATCGCCGAGTTATTGCGAGTGCTCTGTTTTCATGTCATATTAATTTAAAGCAGAGAATATAGGTCGAATGTAGATATGTATATATAACCATAGTGAGGGTTTAAGTTAAAAGTTAGAAGAGAGAAATAACAGTGAATACAAATTTAGATTATTTGAATTTGCACTGTAGTTATGAGATGGTTAGTTTCGATGGGTAGCTTTAATTTAACAATTGATTATAAACGTTGTTTGGCATTCCAGATAGCTGACCAGAATCTATTCTACTGCCCCTCTAAACCACATCATCTTAAAAAGACCCGGAATACCTGTTAACTTGAATCTTCATTATCCAGATGATAGTATAATTTAACTGTCTTTTTAATTTTTGTAATTCAGATCCAATTCTCAATTGTTTGACCTGTTCCTTGAATCCCGCTCAACGCTTTTATATAGCCCCTCCTCCCTCTTTGCGGTATTTGTTTGGTCACATTCTTTTATTCATCTCATCTACTTATCCCTGACACAATGTATAAAAATGGTCAAGGCTAGTATGGTATAACTGGTGATTGGAATTTTGCAAACAGTAGAATCGTGAGTCACCTGTCATTTTATTGTACAGAAGCTGTACAGTGTGATTTAGTTTGTTGTTAAGTATATTATATATTATGAGAGAGTAGTAATGACTGTCATATTTATGTATCTTTCACTTTCTCTTTCAGTACATAATCTTCCGTCGTGGGATCGGCATTGATAAGACAACTGATTATTTCTTCATGGAGAAAGTGGATGTGATCATTTCACGTTTCTGGTCATGGATTTTGAGAAAGACCAGGTATTCTTTACTCCATTTTTAGCTGAAAACGTTGAGCATGATGGAAAAATATTAAGCATATATATTACATTACAATTTTTTATCTTGTTCTTTATACTCCATTTTTAGCTTATAAAACTTCATCTGGTTGGGTTTTCCTGTCCTATAATGTGACATTCTGGGTGGGAAATGTTTTTTACTTACAGATTAGAGAAGATTCTTTCGAGAAGATCAAGTTCACGGCTTAAGAAGGATCCAAAAAAAGACGATGGAATTGTCTCTGAAGCAGAATCAGATGACTTATACGTTGAGCGTGTCCGTCTTGAGAATATGGAGCTCAGGTTTTATGAAACAGTCTGCTGCAGTGTTTCTTATTATTGTCTTTTTTGTTCTTTCAGTTTTTTTCAGCATTTGGAATCTAAACTTGGAACCAAGTGGTGGAGCATAGCCTGTTTAAAAGATTTTCCATGTAATTGGTACTTTACAGTTTACAGGCTGCATGATGAACATCTGAACTCAACACTAGTGCATTCTGTTAAAATTTTCTTTGAAGTTGCTCAAATTCAAAGTTCAATTTGTTTAACTAGTACCAGTAAGTAGATGTTCGTTCCTAAAGGGAAAAGATCTTAGAAGTACTTTCATTATTATTCTTTCTTAATAAATGGAAATATACGCCGCAGGGATGGTTTATTTTTGCTAAGCTTTTCTATCTTGTAACCTGTGATAAAAGAGTTTAAGCTCTAGTGTGGTGCTGAAAAGTCAAGTTTAGCGTGTTAGTATTTATATGCTGTAAGGTTATTTTATTGACGTGTTTACTAATGTTATATTATTCATGGCTTTTGTTTCAGTTTACGGAACTTGTTGAGTAAACTTACAATTCAAGAACCCACTTTTGATAGGATCATTGTTGTCTACAGGTATTATCTGATATAAATTGTTATTGAATTACTATTACCTGTTTGTGACATTTCTGTTATTTATTCTTCCCCATGACTGTTTTATAGAATCCGTTGTGGCAGTGCTAGGTTTCTTAATTTTGTTGTCATATATATACAAAGCTATTTGGCTCTTCTCCTCTTAGCTCAACTGGACTCTATCTTGCCTTATCAATTTCTTTTGTTGAGGAATTTATGTTGTGTGTGTTTATATATTATTTCAACTCATACTCAAAATCTAACTCAACTTTAACTCAACTCCACTATCTTCAATAATATTATATATAATTAAATAATACCAACCAATCATTTTTACATATCATATCAACTTTAATTTTGATAGGAGTAAAGGATCAGAGAATTAGAGAATTAAAAGGAAAAGGAATTAATAGACAAATTTATTATAAATGAAAGAAAGAACAATGATCAGAAGTGTAAAACTTCCCAGGAAGATAACTTGCCCAATAGCCTAGCTATTAAGATTATTTCTTCCTGATCCCTAATTCTCACTTCCTCACTCCCTTTAATAAGATTATTATTATTATTTATATAAGGTAATAGGATAATAAATATAAGGTAAGATAACTAATTGATAGCTTTCCATTCTCTCCAGAAATCCATCTAAATCCCCTAATTCATGCTTCCCATATTGCATTACTGATTTTATTCCCATATCTTATTTATTCATTTCCAGCTTTCCCTTTCCTTGAGTAGACAACCCATTGTTCTTCAACCTTTTTTCCGGCATCTCTATCATTAGCACCAGCCAGAGAAATAGCCCACAAGGCCGGAATTAGGAAACTGCCCGTTGGTAGCCGACCTCCTCCGCTTGAAGCTCGTCAGTGATATCCTGGCTTAAGTTGTGAAATATGAAAGACCGGATGAACCTTTGAGGTAGAGGGAAGCTGAAACTTGTAAGCAACCGCACTCAACTTTTGCAAAATCAAGAAAGGACCATAGTATCGAGGGGCTAACTTTTGGTTCAATCTGTTAAGAAGCTGACGGAGTCATTGCGATTAGAGTGAGCATCGGCCATTGCGGCCATCCGAAACTCACCAGGTAAATATTGTTGCAAGGTTGGAGGTGTCCTGCCATACACAATCTCAAAGGGAGTCCGTTGAGCAGCTCCCTGAAAAGACGAGTTGTAACATTATTCTGCCCAGTGAAGACACTTGCCCCACTGTCAGAATTGTTCGGAAGCAAAACAATGAAGATATTGCTCCAGACAACGGTTGAGCACTTCGGTTTGTCCTTGGGGGTGGTAAGCACTGCTCATTTTAAGACTTGTCCCCATCTTTGCAAAGTACTCAGTCCAAAAGTGGCTTAAAAATATTGGGTCTTGGTCACTTACAATCGAATTGGGCACTCCGTGAAAGCGGACAATCTCCTTTGGAAAATGATCAGCTAGAGATCTAGCGGTGAACGGATGTCGAAGTCCAAGAAAGTGGGCATATTTGGAAAACCTGTCAACCACCACTCAAATGCAGTCGAGCCCACCAGATCGTGGTAAACCCATAATGAAGTCCATTGAAATGTCTTTCCAAACCGCCGTCGGAATTGGGAGAGTCGGAATTGGGAGAAGTTGGAGCAGGCTAGCGGGGACAAGGTTTCATATTTGTTCTTCTGGCAAACTAGACAGTCTGCCACAAATTTTTGGACATGGCGCATCATACCTTTCCAATAAACACTTGCAGAAAGTCGTCGATATGTGTGGGATGCACCTGAATGCCCCCCTATTGGAGTGGAATAGAACTCCTTGAGTAGTCGAGAGGTCCAAGTTGAATTAGAAGGATGCACAATACGACCCTTATAGAATAGGCGACCGTTAATCAATTTGTATGGGGGGCAGCCATCAGGATCTAGATGCAATCGGGCAATGAGTGGTTGAAGCGTTGAATCCGCCAAAATAGCATACTCAAGAGCACTTTAGTCCAACCACGCGGGGATGGATATAGCGGAAAGTTGCAAGTCATCGTGACTGCGGGACAAGGCGTCTGCTACGCAATTAGTGGAGCCTGTCTTATAGACTAGTTCAAAATCATAACCAAGTAATTTAGCAACCCAATTCTGTTGTGACGGAGTGGAGGTACGTGTTGCAATAAATAACGTAGACTCTGGTGGTCAGTCCGTACTATGAAACGACGACCTATGAGATACGACCGCCAGTGTTGAATGGCCATCACAAGAGCCATTAGTTCCTTTTTGTAGGTAGATTTAGATAAAGTCTTCCTAGAGAGAGCCTTGCTGAAGAAGGCAATGGGGCGACGTTCTTGCAACAGAACGGCTCCTACTACCCCAGTTCCCGATGCATCACATTCAATAATAAATGGTCTTGAGAAGTCTGGCATGGCCAAGACCTGGGAAGTGGTAACGGCATTCTTCAAAGAATCAAAAGCAAATTGTGTTTCCTCGGGCCATTGGAACGTAGCCACATAGTCATGCAAGAGTGTGGTGAGAGGATTGGCAATTGAGCCATAGTGCCGAATAAATCGACGATAATATCCAGTTAATCCCAAAAATCCACGAATTGCTTTGAAGGAATGAATAGACAAATTTATTATAAATAAAAGAAAGAACAATGATCAGAAGTGTAAAACTTCCCAGCAAGATAACTTGCCAAATAGCCTAGCTATTAAGATTATTTCTTCCTGATCCCTAATTCTCACTTCCTCACTCCCTTTAATAAGATTATTATTATTATTTATATAAGGTAATAGGATAATAAATATAAGGTAAGATAACTAATTGATAGCTTTTCATTCTCTCCGGAAATCCATCTAAATCCCCTAATTCATGCTTCCCATGTTGCATTACTGATTTTATTTCCATATCTTATTTATTCCTTTCTAGCTTTCCCTTTCCTTGAGTAGACAACCCATTGTTTTTCAACCTTTTTTTCGGCATCCCTATCAAATTTACTATTCAATCACTCACATAATTTTAACTAACCATCACTTCACATCATCTCTCTTATACTTTTACATCAAATCAATTTTAATTATTTCATTTTAAATATTATTCTATTATGAACTCAAAATCCCATTAACAACTAATCATACCAACTTTTTCAAAATTAACTCTGGCTAAAAAAAAAAATTGTTTTGAGTCAATATATGTGTATACAAGCACGCCCTTAGTAATTTACTGACAACTTGCAATGAAGTAATTGTTTCTCCTAGTCCTGGATGGTTTTTGGAGTTACCAATAAAAAAATGGACATAGCTTTAGGACAGAGACTGCTTATTGCCTAGAAAAGTTAAACCACCCATTGTACATATAGTGAACTCCTTCGCTTCCTTTTCTCCATCTTCCATTAGTCCTTTACTTGTCATTGAATTTGGTTTATATTTCTGATCAAATTTCATTTATGGGTGCAGGCGTGCAAGTTCTAAAATAAAATCAGAGCGAGGCATATATGTGAAGCATTTCAAAAACATTCCGATGGCCGATATGGAAATTGTCCTGGTGTGTACTCTTATCTTCTTCCTTGGTCATTTTCTGTTATCATCTTCTAATTTATTTTGTTTAGATGCTGATATGTTTTTACATTTCATTTTTGTCAAATAGCCAGAGAAAAAGAATCCAGGTTTAACTCCAATGGATTGGGTTAAATTTCTTATATCTGCAGTTGTAGGACTGGTTAGTCAAATTGTTGCCATTTGTAATCTTCTGTTCCATTATGTCGGTTGAACATTTTTCACTTATTTATATTTTAGGGGACTCTTTCAGGTAGCTGTTGTTGGATCTGTTGAAATGCCAAAAGCTGACCTGTGGGTGATTTTTGCTATTCTTTCCACAGTGATTGGTTATTGTGCTAAGATTTACTTCACGTAAGTATTTCCTGCCTAGTAACTTTTCTCCTTCCTTTTTCTTTGTGTTTATGATTTTTTTTGTAAGTCTTCTAGAAAATGAAAATTGCTGATAGTTCAAGCCATATAAAAAGCCACTGAATACAAAATGAAATGTCATTATCATGGCTTTAAACCTTTTTTTTTTAATATATATATTTATTCTTGAATTTGAGTGTGTTCACATTCTACATGTTGGAATGTGCATGAGTAACATGCTAATTCATCCAATCTTCAGTTTAATTTGTTGTAAAGAGGTTGTTTCTAGACTTTAGAGGGCAGGCTCACAATACTTGTATTAGTAATGATCTGATGCTGATTGTGGACTTTCTGAGGTTTCATTTGTTTTTCCATTTTGATGTTTTACTCTGATGTCCGTCTTATTTGGTTGGTAATGATTTTGCTTGTATCTAATTGTCAGGTTTCAACAGAATATGGCTACTTATCAGAACCTAATAACTCAATCTATGTATGACAAGCAGTTGGATAGTGGAAGGGGCACTCTTCTTCACTTGTGTGATGACGTAATTCAGCAAGAAGTATGATAAACTCGAGTTATTTTGCCAATTTTAAGTCATGATAGAAAACAGAAAAAACATGCAATGCGAACTAATTTTTCATCGCAGAAGTTATTATCACAAAGAATTTTTTTTATAAGCATCCAATCACTGGAATCGGACATTGTAAACTCTTTCCCTCTGAGTTTGATGGAATGCTGATGGGAGTTTATTTTCTCTCCAAGCAAAGCATGTTAGGGCTGTTGACATTTTAAATCAGTAAATGGTTATACAGTACAAATTGTTGAATATGAAGTGTCGTTAGTGATTAATGCACTTCAATTTCTTAAATTAAATTTCTGTATCACAAATTTGCAGGTGAAAGAGGTAATAATTTCATTTTTCATATTGATGGAAAACGGGAAAGCCACTTTGGAGGTAAGCAGAGATAGTGCCTTTCTATATTTGCAGATTTCTGTTGACTAGTGCTAGATATTTACAATTTAATATACATGTATATTCCTTACATGAACAGGATCTTGACCAGCAATGTGAGGAATTAATACGAGATGAGTTTGGTGAACGCTGTAATTTTGATGTTGATGATGCTGTTCACAAATTGGAGAAATTGGGCATAGTTTGTCGCGTGAGATTCAATTAGAATTACTTTACTTTGATATAAAGGTTATATTTATGAGTATGTTATGAGATCGTTTCTGTGAGTTGAAGTGTCGAACAAGGTCTCTGTCTATCCCTCCCTCAACTCGCATGGTTGGATATGTACATTTTATTCTTGCTGCTTTTGGGTTTTTTGAGATGTAATAATAAGTAACACATTAAATTGTTTGAGTAACCATAACTGACTTGTTTGTTGTGATGATATTAGGATACAATTGGAAGGTATTACAGCATTGGGCTAAAGAGGGCAAATGAGATCATCGGCACAACCACCGAAGAACTTGTACTGAAAGCTAAACAAGGATCTGCTTCTGCTTGAAATGTAGTATTATGACTATAAGCAGCCTTTGAATTTCAGGTCCTTTGTTTTGCTTCCAATGGCGTAAAACCTGAAAATTTAAGAGTGCAGTAGTTTCTAGTGTTTAGTAGTTGATTGAAGATGTCCATTTTAGTTGTCTTGTAGATGTTGGATGCGGCCTGCTTGTAATGTGGTGAAACTGAATGCACCGTTTTTTTATTTATTTTCTTCTGTTCAAATTTTAATTATGCATCCTTGCAATATTAGTTGCGCTATCCTGTACTACATTGCATGTTTTTTTACCACATCCACTGATCCACACGGACACGTGACTATGTATTTGATTGTTTGGTAAAAAAATTGTTTCATTTTTTTTTCTTAAATAAAAACGATAAAATACTCTTGAATAATAATAACTAGTACAACGCCCGTGTATTACACGGGTGTTTGCTAATTTTTTCCTTAAAATCTAAAATTAATGAGAAAAAGTAGTAGAAAATTTAAATACCTATTATTAAAATATATATTATTATATATTTAGTATGACATTTTTTATTTGTTTGACTTACTTGTGTTATATTATAATAATTTTTTTAACTTACAACATATAACTATATTAAACATAAATATATGAACTGAGAAATAATTTTATTTTTCTAATAAATTTTAATAAATATTGTTATTTTTTATTATTCTAAAGATAAATATAATTTATTTAATTTATATATACAATATGTATGTCAAATTGAAAATCATGACAAGATGATTAATTTGATATATTATATATGTAAAACCGATAATAAACACAAAAGTTATCAACTTTTAAAATACATTTATTAATGGAAGGAAACAAATCAAAAGTCGTGGATATATTAGTCACTTAATGCTCACTATGTAAAATTACAAAGAATTAAAGGGTTATATTAGTACAAGTGATATTAAAATACCTAAGTTAACTATGTAATATTTATGGAATGACTGAACCTATATTATTAGTTATTAATATATCAATATTATTTGTCCAAGCCTAATTATGAAGCATGATTCTTTACCAAGTAGAATTCCGAAGCACCAGAAGCAGCCATGTAGTCTCAGCGCATTCGGGAATTATATATAAGGAGGAGGATAATAATAATAATAATAATAATAATAATAACAATAATAATTTAGAGTTTTATATAACTTTTATGACTAAATTGTCCACTTTCTTTTTAATTTTGATAATTTAGAAAATAATTAAGTTGAATGCTGTGAAAAATCGAAAAGAGGTATATTTAAGTTATGGGGTTAGTTGACTTCCTGAATTTTGGGATTGGGCAATAGGGCCGAAATATGTTGCCTTTTCTGGTCCACCAATCCTTCCCTGTGTGGTCGCACCTTTCTCCTCCACCCCTTTCGGACCAACGGCTTTCGCTTTATTTTAAATTGAAACATGAAGAAATGTTTTATATAAATTTTTAAATTATTTTAGTTTTATTATAGAAGTTTTCAAAATAAAAACTTTAGAGCAGAGCTATATTTGATTGGGCAGTATCTTTGATATGGCGGCAGCCTTGTTCTGGCTATCTGCGCCATGCCCCTCGCCCCCAAACTTGGTTCGACTTAGCAATAGCCGCCACCCTTACAACCCTACTCCTTCTCATTTTACTTCTTCACAGGACTATGGCTGCCATCGCCGAATACCTGTTACTTATTCTTCTCCTACAATTACACACACTTCGAGATCCTTCCGCTGTTTTGCAGGTAATGGTTATCGTATTTATTTTTATTTTTTTTTCATTTTCGTTAATTAAAAATTTTAGGGTAGGGATTCGTTGGTCTTAACAAAAATTGGATTATTTTTAATCAATCCTTGGTTAATCCTGCACCAGCTCTTACTCCAGAGTTGAAGAGCAGCTTGGATAAAGTTGTTAAGTCTCACAAGGTAATTGTGTTCATCAAAGGAACAAAGGAATTCCCCGGGTGCGGTTTTTCAAATACTGTCGTGCAGATAATCAAATCCTTAAATGTGGCCTTTGAAACCATCAATATCCTGGAGAATGAGTTATTGCGTCAGGCGCTGAAAGAGTACTCTAGCTGGCCAACTTTTCCGCAATTGTACATTGACGGGGAGTTCTTTGGTGGCTGTGACATTACTGTGGGTAAGTGCTAGTTTTGTTTATATCCTATAGTGGTTGGTTTTAAAAGTTGGAACATAAATCGTTTCATTTTACTCTCAAGGTATGAAAATCAAATTCTGGATTTAAGATCATTAATTTGCTTCTGGCAATACATTACCAGATTGAGAGAGATAGGTGCTGAGATCATCAAAGATATATATAGATTCCTTATGCTTTCCATGATGTGTTGCTTGTTAGTTGTTACTTGGTCAGTGAATACATACATCAGGTAGACAAGAAATGGATGGAGAAAAGCTTGGTGGTTTTTATATTATGCCTACTCGTGGGGCAAATATCTTGTTTATTTTAATCGTTTTCATGAATTCTGAAACAGAAGCATACAAGAGCGGAGAGTTGCAGGAAGTAGTGGAGAGAGCGATATGTTCATGATTACTTGTTGATTCTAAGGGAATTCAACTTGACTGCTGCTATATGTCAAATTGGTTATATGTCAAAAATCTTATCCTTCCTCTGTTTGAGTAATAAGACTTGAGTCTTAATATTCATGTTTGAGCTAATAAATCACACACTTTGTCCCTAAGCAATTCTCAACTTTTATTCACCTCAGTTTTAGCCTCATTTTATTAGTTGCTCATCACAATACTTCTGTTACTTGTTTGTTGCATGTCCAAATTCCACAACTAAAATCATGTTTATATTTTATTTTAAATTTTGAAATACATGCTCGAAACTACTACTACTATTATTATTATTATTATTATTATTATTATTATTATTATTATTATTATTTGATGGGTCTGCTCTCAGATCTGGAACGGTTTGGTGAGAAAACGTCCGGATCTGGGATGAACCGGTATGAACGAGCTTAGATCTGGCCTGATGACCTTCGAGCCGTTGCTGAATCGTACGAACACCTGCAAGAACTCAACGCCGGAGGGTTTTTCCGGCGTAGAGCCTCCGACGCTCAAGTCAGTATGTGAGAGAGATGATGGGAGCTGCTATCAGAGCAGCAGCAGTAATAGAAATGTCTGGAATGAATGGGAGTTAGGGTTTTGGGATTACCTCAGTCCTTTATATAGGAGTACAATATATACCTGAAGTCCCCAAAATGCCCTGGCCGACTTAAAGGAAATGTCCAGAATACCCCGGTCGGTTCATATTCCGCCTACTTCCTAGTCAGCATCTAGATCCTTCCTTAGCTTCCTTCTTATCCTTAACTTTCCTTCAATATGCGGAGGTGTGTCAAAGCTATCGGACACCTCGAACTGCAAGACTCCTTCAGTCGACTCGAGGTATCGAATCGAGTCGACTGGATCGCATTCCATCACTAATGGTCCCTGATTCGTCTGATCGCTGTCGGGGCATATGTCGACTCGTTCCAGTCGACGGATACATGTCGACTCGGTCGAGAGCCGGGCTTCTTGATTGAATATCATGCAACCCTACCGGCGGAGTCGACTGTGTTATAGTCGACTTTGTCAGTTCCGAACCACGATGATATGAACCGCTATGAGCCGATTGTGACCATGCCGCGGTTACTGAACCGTGGCACGATAGTATGGCTATATCATTATTATTATTATTATTATCACTACATAATGGTAAAAAAAAAGTCACAAAAAAAACTTCGTTTCACCATAGTAAACCACTCTATCTATACAACAAACTTTGATAGTAAATAATGGATAAAAGATCTCAAGTAAAATTTCTTTTACCATATTACACCATAATTTAATATAGATTACAAAGCTTTGATAGCAAAAATTCCATTTTGATCCAAAAGTAAAACGACGAAAAGCTAACGTACAATGGCGCATGCAGAATTCCATAATTAAAAAGCTCGTAAAAACGACCAAGAAAATTCTCTCCCAAAGTACACCATCTTAGATAAAAAAAAATTCTAAAGTGAAAATTCAGTTTTAAGATGAAAGAAAAACGACCAAGAAAATTAAAAAATTTATAAAACTCATAAATAATGTAAAAACAACTCAAATATAATTTTTTTCGCCACAGCAAACCATCATTCAGCCTGAAAAAGTGGGTGGACATGTCAGAAGACCACCTAGAATCTCGACTAGCAACGCTAGAATAAAAATACTCGCAACTAAACCGACCAACACCTAACACAACCAAAACTAAAAACTAAAAAGATCCCAACATGATAGTACCCGAGTGTAGGATCCCAACATGATAATATTTTCATCGTTATTTATGACATTTAATTTTTAAAAAAAAAAAAAATTGTGTGTACAATTGTACACACGCTTTCAACTATTTTCTTTCGTCTCAAAACTAAATTTTCATTACTAAGGTTTTAATCTATCGTTTTGATTTATAATAATATCTATCATTTTGAAAAAAAAAATGGTGAAAAAAGGTCTTCAATAAATTTTCTTTCACCACACTACACTATCGAGTGATATTTACAAACTTTGATGGTGAAAATTAAGGTTTGAAACGAAATAAAAACAACTAAAAGCGTGTTTACACTTGTACACGAATAAAGTGAAATTAAAAAACTCATAAATAGTGGTTAAAAACTCTTGAGGGTTTAGCCTCTGATAATTAGTGTATTTTGCCTCTGAAAATGGTTTAAAAGTTCGTTGCAAATTGCCTTATCTTATTTTGCAATAAGGGTTTAAAGTTGGATTGTCGAGCCTTGAGTTTTTAAGTCGAATCATATTTTAAAAAATTAAAGTTTTTAGCCCAAAAAATACTACTTTAGTCTGGTCGTTAGTTGTGGCATAAAGGTCGAGAAGTTTGTCAGGAATAGTCGTCGCACGAGCCGGACCTCTGCAGCACGCAGGCGCTGGCTGCGCAAGCTGCGTGCCGCGAGCCCACGCCAGGTGCCTTGCGCGACGCCGCAGCTGCCAGCGAGCTCGTGAGCGCGCAGACGACCTTCTACGACTTCCAGACCCCGCGCGCCGCATCTCAGCGACCAACACCTCTCGTCCCAAGTAGACCCGAGTCGGCCAACAGCCAAGTCACCCCTCGCCCGCGTGAGATGCCCGCGAGGCCAGGCCACAGCGCTGGGCCCAACGAGTAGGGGAGCGCCCGTGGGCGACCTACTGCACCCGAGCCGGTGCGATGCCAGTTGCGGTCTGACTCGCACCAGCAGCCAGCCGCACCAGACCAACCCAAGCCCGAGCCATTTTAAAATGTTCCGAGCCATATAGTCCGAGTTATTTTTTTAATTTCTGGAAAATCCTTCGAGCCTTGATTTGATTTTAAACCGAGCCTTGAATTTTAAATTCCAAAATCATTTTTCAAGATTTTAAAAATGTCCTAGTTGAGAGTTCCAATATCTAAGTCATGAATCTTAAGTTAGAAAATTCTTCAAGTTGGTAATTTAGTTTACCAAGTAAGAGTTTGTATTTAATCGACTTGTGCTTCTAATGTAGATTTCGATGAGTCGAGCCCTCGCATTTCCACAGAAGCTACAACTTTCTCCATTTTCGAATGCAAGTGGGGAAGTCTATGCCTTACTGTATTCTTTATAATTTCTGTGATATTTATGATTGTTATGTGTTTCTCGAATTATATGCTAGCTTATTAGACGACAGCATGACAGTGCCTATGAGACGGCTGAATAATTCTAAGTCGCGCCTAAGATGGTAGCATGACCTGCACTAAAATAAGATGCACCTATTAGATGACTGCGTTGAGATGAGATGCGTCTATTAGATGATTGCATGATAGTGACTGTGAGATGACAGTATTATGCTAAGTCACGCCTAAGATGGCAGCGCGATCTGCACTGAGATTTGTTGTGCATACGAGATGTCTGCATAGAGATGAGTGCGTCTATTAGATGGTTGTGTGAACAGATATTTGTGTTGCATGTTAGCATTCATGGTATCCATTATAAACCAGAATATCGGTATGGTATAGGTATTTGAAAGAAATCGATTAAGAACTAGATTAATTTGGCTCAAGGTGGGTTAGTTGTTTGCTCACCCTGTACAATTTACCATTTTTAGGTTGAGCAGCTAGCCGTGGACACATGAAGAACAATGGTGGTCATCACTAATTATGTTAAAATTATTCTGCAATATTTAACAAACTATGTTTATATTCTTACTTTGTGATATGTATTAGAGTTTGTTTTGAGAACTAGTGAATATCCCGTGACAACGGGCTTGTTTCTTAAAACAATTTTAAAACTTTATTTTAACAATATATTAGCTTGTTAACTGTTTATATTAATACATAATATTTTAACATCAATATTTATATTTTGATATAAACAAAATAATAATATTATTTATTTGTTTTCATCATAATACTCAATTATTATTTTTTTAATTTATTGTCGTACAATGTCATTATCTTATCATTTATAACACTTATAAAAGTAGAGTTCTTTATATATATGCTGATAAATATTTAATAAACATTAATATTATTTAGTTTTATAATTAATTTAGGAGATTGGAGTTTTAAACTATATAGAATCCTCATATTTTAAGATTGTTTTTATATTATAAAATTGAAAGACAAATCTTTTACAAAATAAAATCGATTTCTTAGTGATAATATATTTTCCAGATTTTGAAGGTCAAATCAAAGAACTACACGACGCAGAAACGATGACTGGCTTGAACCACTAATTGTGTAAATTAATTTGGGTTATTTTTATGTTAAAAGAAATATCTATGCAAATTCGTTGATATTGTATAAAAATTATAGTTTAGTTTTTGTTCATATTATTGTATGCAATTATTGGTTTAGAGTTTTGGAAGTAAATTTCGTGTATAATAAAAATGATGTCTAATCGGATATGAAAGTATTTTTAAATATATTGCCAAAAATTACTTAAAAATCGGATCTCAAAACCGTGGGGTTTGTTGATTAAATTGATGATATGATTTATTAAATCAATATTACGAAAAAGAGGAATCTCGAAAGTCTTCGAACCCTAACCCCCAAATCCTCGAACCCGCACTTTGTCTTCTGCTCTCGATTTTTCGGCAGTTTCCTTCCTCGGTGTCGTTGAGTCTCCGGCCAGTGGTCATCTCTGACCGCTCGGCTCGCCCTTTGGGACGCGAATCTCAGGGGTCCCTGCAGATGTCATGATTGTCAGCCTTCCCTCCGTTGCCGGCGAGTTTGTGTCATATGGTGGCGCTCCTCCGGTCTGAGTCGGTTGGTCTCTCCTCGGTCGCCGTCGGGGCGGGGACCCTGGAAGATGTGGTTGTTCCAGTTTGCAATGGAGTTTGGGAGGCGCGTGGGCCGGGAGTCGGGGTGGGACCCTGGAAGATGTGGTTGTTCCGGTTGCAGCGGTCGAGGTTGAGGAACCGAGCCATCCTCACCCTCCCCCTTTCGGCTAGTGGTGTTAGGCGGCGGGGGTCCTGGCTCAATCGAGCTCATCTAGTGGTGTTAGACGGGTTTGGGTTGGGGGTGGTTTGTCTTCCTCTCGGTCGGTGATAGGT